GTCAGCCTCAGGTTAAAAAAAAAATATTAAGATTGGCAAAAAAAAAAAAAAAAAAAGAGTCCAATCCCACATTTTATCAGTTCACAGTTCAAAAGCCAGGATCCTATACTGGCATATAATAGTGAGTATGGATTATAATGTACATAGTATGAATATCTTACACATCAGTGAAGGTACCATGAATACCAAACATTAAACTGAGGTTTTGGAGCATGTTGTTTTTCTCAGGGAAAGCCTCGCTTATTTCAGCAAGACAATGCTTAACCGTGCTTCTGTTCCAACAGCATGTCTCCACTGTGCAATAACCTGGGTGTTTTATAGTAACCTGCTTACAGTTCAGACCTGTCACTCACTGAAAAGGTCTGACACAGTAAGAAGTGACATTTCTGATGGACTCCCCTGAACTGTTTAGCAATTTATTTCAAGCAGAAAAAGATTACACAGAAGTAAACTCCATCAGCTGTACCATCTTGTTTTTCTACTATTGTCAGTTAAACAAAGTGTTTAAAGGTTTTGCAAATTCCTGCATCCTGTTCGGATTTACATTTTACACAGGATCCTAACTTTCTTGAATATGCAGCAGTGGTTCATAGAGCTGGTAGGTAATAGTTAACCATAAAGAGCTGCTGGCTGTTTGTTTACTGTACATCTTGTACATCTTGGTGTGGTGTTGAAGTTAAAATTTAATAGAAAAAGGGCCAGATAATAAGGCAAGGATGGGACAAGTGATTGTGTAAGACAACAAATTTGATGTGTGGGCTTCATTTTCCTCAGATGACAAGGGTCAACTGCTGTTAGTGAATTTGTCCTGGTGCTCTGAAAGGTTTGGAAATGCACTTGGCAAAAGTATAGAGAAAAGAAGGGATGGCTGAAAACGTTATTAGAGAGTCAATCTAACTTTAATTATATAATTAAGGAGAATACTAATTAATGCTTCTCTTTCCATCTACGTTGGCCTTAGGCAAAAACATTATCTCAACACGTCCCAGTTTTTCCCCCTTTTTTAAAAAAAAAATCTCAGTAAGCTGCTGTATTTCAATGTCTACTTCCAACTCAGGAAATAGGAGCAGTGATCTGGTCCTCCTCATTTCATATGCACTAGAGGTTCTTGACCCAGGGCTTGTGTATGGCTTGGGCAAAGAAAAAAGCCAATAAAAAGTGTCTACTGTTAGGGAGATCACCTTATCTAAATCACCATTCCCATTCTTCAAAGTGCACTTTAAGCACAGGCAGCTCTGCATTTCTTCTTCCTAATCATACTGGGTTAGAGGGATGACTTAAATGAGCACAACACTGGAAGTTAAAGCAAAAAAAGTCTGCCAGGTAGGTTATTTATCTCCCTGCCTAAAAGGTGTTATTAGTTGGCGAGAAGGCACAACTGGAAGATGAAGTCAGTGTAAATAAGCATATAGCCCAGCGCTTTGAGTACATGAGAGTGCTGGGAAACGCGGCTCCAATCACTACCGCCGTTCCTGGCTCAATTTCCCTGGCTGACGTCAGCTGACTGCCTTGGCTCTCTCCACTCTCCGCTCCTCCGGACACAGCGCCGAGTAAAAATGCTGCTCTCTGTGCCGCCAAGGACAGGAATCAACCCTTACAACAGCTACAACGGCAAAAACACCAAGAAGGTAAATAACGACACCACCGGCCACTTCTATCGCGTCTTTCTCAAAGTAAGTCATTTCCCCTCTCGATGCGGTGTTGCTCGAGCTCTGGCTCTCCAGTTAAAAGCTGCTCGGCTGTTTAAGCTGCAGTGTCCTTGAAAGTGGATCACAGGCGACGTTTAAACTCGCATACTTGCCATTGCGGTGTTCGTTTCCGGCTTTTTGCTTGTTCTTCTTTAAACTGTTACACATGAAAACGGGGCCCGTTACGTTGTTGTTCGTGAAATAGTAGCTACAGTTTGCTTTCGTTTGTTCTGATACGGCGTCTGCTCGCTTCCTATACCGAGCCTGCACACAGTACAGCTTATAAATGTGTCGTGGAGGCACGCTAGGCTCAGGATAAGCTAATAAAGACGAAGCATATTTGACTTTAATGTGGATTCGCCGGGTTTTAATTTCATATATATTCATATAAGTTCTCTTCTCATTGAATTAACCACAAGTTAGCAAAGTTTTTTTCCCTCTTTCACGCGCACCAGCATGCCCCACCCCTTCTGTCTTACAAATGATTACTGATGGCACTATAAGGAAAGTTACTGAGCCCACGAAAGAAGTCTAGTGTAATTGATTTTTCTCTCTTTTTCAGTAAAATGACAAATAGTTTTTAAGATAAATGTTGATTATTTTGCATACTGAGATAAGTAATTGATGAGGTGACGTCCAATCACTTTTCTGTGCAGGCTATATGGATTTTTTTTAATTAAAATTCGGGAACTCGCACATGTGTAAAGATTATATATAACGTTTGCAGTCACGGGGAAATGTTACTTAAGTCAACGATTTGAAGTTTTAGTTGTTTGTTTTTGCTCGTGATAGTGGCAGAATTATTTTTAAACTAATTTTTAACCCCAATTATTGAATTTATAATGTTGGTATTATAGGTATTATATATATATATATATATATATATGCCCGCACGCTATAAAACGGCATTTATTTCCAGAATAACGTGTGAAACAGCTGAAACGCTTCCCCTCTTTCCCTTTTTTTTCCTCGTCATTCTCTCTCCTGCCTCAAGAAGACTGGAAAGAATTCAGATTGCTCAGATTAATGATCTGGAATTCCTGGAATCCTGGATTCAGACATTGTGCTCACTTCTAGAGGTGCTTTGCAAACTGAAACCCCCTTTTTTTTTTGCTGAAAGAAGACATGCGCACACAGTTTTTTTTCACCCCTACACACACACCTTCACAAAGAAAGGGACTTGTAAATCCAGTGTCAAGTGGCAGCCCCTGGTCTGTGTCATTTACTACAAGAAACAGGGCGGAGAAAAGAGGGATTAAGAGACACCCCACCCACCCCCCTCTTCCTCTGCTTTTGATTAACTCCCTGATCTTTTTTTTTTTTAAACTTTCTCTCTTTTAGCCTTACAGGCTGTCTAAGTGTTAAGATGAACCCAGGTTTTAGTCAGGAAGAGAAGAGCAAATAGGTCTCACCTTCGAGCCGCAGGACATCAGGGGTTTCCTTATGTGGTTCTTTCCACCTTGCTGTTTTTCTCACCGTCTTTTTTTTCTCTCGCTTGAAGCAACAGAAATGTAATATAAAAAGATTGTAATACTAAAATTGTTTCCACTTCACCTAAAGTTTCTTTAACCTAGGAGGTAGGCTGGATCTATCTTTCTGTGATGCAATATATCATAAATTTATAAAAGATGCTGTTGTTGCGTAGTGCAAACATGATCGACTTTGTGATGCTAGTAGTTTGTTTGTGCATAGATCGAAGGCTACTGTATGGTAATAGAAATAAGCAAATATGCGTTTAATGATAAGCAAAATGAATTTTTGCTTGTACAGTTTAATTCATCTGGGATTTTATAGGCTACTGTGTTCTTATCTTGTGATTAATATGAACTTAAATCAAACAAAAGAACTAAATGTGGTGTCCGACCGATGTTGCATTTTGTTTCAACATGCTCTGTATCAACAGATTTAGCATTAAAGCGTCTTACAGTGAGACTCATACAGTTAAAAGCATGCGTTCTGCCTCAGTTAGCACTCATTGTTCTTGCTTGGGTGAAAAAGTCCTTGAGTCACCTGCTCTCCCTGCAGGAATCACCTGTGCTCCCTCCAACTGTAATCACCTCATCGGTCTTTAGCTGCTCTCTGCAACATGGTGTAG